TGTGTGTGTGTGTGTGTGTGTGTGTGTGTGTGTGTGTGTGTGTGTGTGTATAGATGTTGAAGGATAACTTGGGGCATCACTTCTCTCCTTTCACCATGTGGGTGGGTCCTGAGGATTAAACTCGGGTCATTTGGCTTAATGTCAAGTGCCTTTACCTACTGAGCCACATTACTGACCTCTCCAATATTTTAAAGTCAACTTCAAAAACTTACCATTTGAGAAGTTTGTACAAAAATATGATGTGCTTTAATTAAATCCACCCCTTCTTCCCTCCAACTCCTCAAATATCCCCACTTTTCCCTCCCAACTTCATATTATGTTTTCTTTTATACTATGAAAGTGTAATAATATAGTCTGATAAAATAATTAAGCACAAAATATAAATAAATTTGATTTATATTTGCTGGGCAGTGGTGGTGCACGCCTTTAATCCCAGCACTTGGGAGGCAGAGGCAGCGGATCTCTGTGATTTTGAAGCCAGCCTGATCTATAGAATGAGTTCTTAAACAGCCAAAGCTACACAGAAAAACCCTGTCTTGATAAACAAAACAAAACTCCAAACAAACAAACAAACAAACAAACAAAAAACTGGTCCAGTTAAAATAGCAGACAAACATTAGTCGGGACTGGGAAAATAGCTTACCTATGCTTGCCTTGCATTCATGAGGTCCTGGGTTTGATCTCTAGCATCACACACACACACACACACACACACACAGAGAGAGAGAGAGAGAGAGAGAGAGAGAGAGAGAGAAAAACAACAACAGAAAGCTTATCCACTGCCAAACAGTGGTACAGGCATATAATAAATAACCTTAGCTCCCAGGAGGAAGGGGTAGGAGAATCAGTGCAAGCTCAAGGCCAGCCTGGTCTATATAAAGAGTTCTAGGCCAGGCAGAATTGCATATTGAGACCTTACCTAATAAAAAATTATACATATAAGGCACAGCAGTTAAGAGTATATATTGTTATTCCAGAATACCTGAGTTCAGTTCCCAGCACCCACATCAGGTGGGTCATAATCACCTGTAATTCCAGCTCTGGGGGATCTGACATCCTCTTCCGTTCTTCGTGGACACACACACAGAGACAGATAAACACACACACACTCACACAGAGACATAAATAAAACTAAGTCTTAATTTAAAATAAATATATACATATATTACATGTTTATGTAGTTTTATATCTAATATTACAACTGTGTGTACATTTATACACACACATGTATGTGTACATACACATACGTATGCCAAGGGAAGAAGCCTTGTCATACGGGGATGTGGAGACAAGGTTCAAGTTTTCAAAACTGCTTTATGTAACACAATTTTCCCCGTTTATTCTCAATCACTCACTACTGATCACGCACTTTAAGCAAACTCATTCTATCAGTAATTCACATTTTGTTGTGATCTAGCTTTGGGAAAAGATCAGACTCGAAGACTCATAATAAGGTCCCTTATTCAGAGAAGCTGTTTATTTGAGGAAGCCGAGAGCTAATAGAAAATAAATTTGAAATGAACCGGCAGGTTCATGAACTTACTGCTTTATCTCCAAGAGCTGTTCTGATGCTAAGTCTTACTTTAAAGGCATTTTCTGCATCTGCCAGAGAGGAAAACAAACAAAAACAAAGAACAGTGAGTTAGGATAAACTGTAAGAAAACAGAGCCTGATAAACCCCAATGTTTCATACAGCCCTGACGAAGATTACAGAGAACTACAATTGATCTGCCCCAGTATCCCTGCAACTTTAAGGGAAATCATATTAAATCATTTACATTTTTCTTTCAAATTTTTAAGAGTCATAGGTTCAACTCTCAAGCCACGTGTCCAAAGACTTAGAAAAAAAAGTTTTTTCACTCAGTGACTTCTCAATCATTTAGAAAAGTGTTAATTTATTTTTTAAGTTTCAATGCTACATACCTGGATGACAGAGTTCAGCATGAATAGTAGTCACTAGGAAAAATAGCAGCCACAACATTCTTTCAGAGTTGAAAACAGAAGACAAACTGAGAAAAAAAAATCCACTCTCCACTTAAAGCTGCTTTAAGCATTCTGTGACCCGGATTAGTGTATCAGAAAAATCAGTGAGCCACCATCTAAATGGTTTAATAATTAACACCCATCAGTTGGGTTAATACTTCCATAGATGCAAACCATCCCCTGTCAGTTATTTACAAAAATCCATTTGAGAAACGGGTTAGCTGTTTCTTTCTCAAACTCTACCTCAGAAGAATGTTTCCTCTGCTGACATAGGCAGAACCCTCCCCCACACCTCCTGTAGTTGTCTGGTTAAGATCAAGGTGAAAAGCACTGAGTCCTCCCTGGAGGTTTCCTTCCTCATAAACTTTGTGCCCTTTCAGGCTAACCTATTTGATTCACAGATAGGCTATCATATTTGGGAAACAAATATAATTCCTTTTCATCTCTGGTGAAAAAGGGCACACTTCCTAGACTGTTGGTTGGTAAACAATCCCCAAGTAGAGGACGGTTGTGTTGAGTTTCAAGTTCTGGCTCTGTTGTCTAAAACTCATCATTAATGATCTGAAGCCTCACTGTCCAATATTATGATCATTAGATGATTATGATGAAGATAATGATGACGATGGCAATGACGATGATGATGATGGTGTCAACAATGACAATGCTCTGTCCAGGTACCACTAGGTACAAGTGAATGCTAACCTCTTCTTAAAAGGGAACTAGAACTTCTAAGAAACTGTAATTTAGTTTAAGTTGCCAAATAGTGCTAGTGATTATACTGTTCAGTGCAACTGTTTAACAGTGACTAAGAGTTGCTTAATATGAACTAGGCTCCCTGGATTATTTCTCCAATCTTCACAGTGGTTACAATCATGTCATATATGAGGGATCCAAGTACTGCAAGTTAAAGTCCCTGGCAGCAATGGTATTAGTGGAATGGCAGCCCCTTTCCCAGCTACACTGACTTAGCTTAAACCTTGTCATCATCACACTGAGCCAGTGTCTCTGGTCTTAAGAGGTCAAAACTGAAATCACCACCAAACCTTGAGATACTCTGAGGACTAAGATGCTAGGGATATAAATGCTCTCCCCAGTGAGCATTCCATCAACCAGGCTGGTACAAGTCTCCTGGGGTCTTTGGCTGGGCTTTCTTTTCTCTCTCCTGGCACTTCCTTCTTAGAAAGTCATGAGTTGGCAGATTCGACTTGATAGTTCAGATTTTAAATAGGACATTTGGGTTTTTTAAGCAACAAGGGGGAAGCTATGAACAGGGACATTTCTGTGACACTTTGAGAGACAGAGTGAGGGTGGGATTTTGTTGGAGATGGTCCCTGTTAGCTCAACCCACCTGAAAAAGGCTTTTAGCATCTCTTCCACCTTGGCACTAAGAACACTGGGAGAGAAAAAGCTGTCCCAAAGGAAGAGGCAGCCAAGCCAGCCCAATCATTGTAACAGTGTCACTGTTAAATACAATGGAAATTTCCCAAAGGAAAGTGTTGACCTAACTACTCCCACCCTGAAAAAAAAATCAACTAGATGAAGTTATCTTGAGAAGGAAAAGTCAATACAGAGAGAGAGAGAGAGAGAGAGATTTACTAAAGCACTTCAGTGAGGGCACAGTGACATGTTAGAGACCCAGACATCTGATTCGATATGCTTTTAGTCTTGCATTTCATAAAAGTAATAATTTCCCATATGTTCTTACTTACATGGATGTGGCTAGGATTGCAATAAAAGTAACACTCAAATAGCAAGTCTTAGTCAGTGCATTTTCATTTCCAAAGAGAAAAAAAAGTCTTTTCTGAACAGTTCTTGTTTCCCAGTGATTTTTTTGTCTCATTCAGACATAAATAAATGAAAGAGACATTTGATATATTTTAATCAGTGACACACATTTTTTTCTTATCTTTCAATCTTTTTCTCTTTTTCTTTTCCCCTTTCTTTCTTAATGTTTTAAAGACAAAATATCATGTAACCCAGTCACTGATTAAGCAAGTATGACCTTGAACTCTTGATTCTTTGCTTTCATCTCCCAGGTACAATTACAAGCATGCATCACTATAGCTGACAACTCTGAGTCTTCTCGTATGTTCCTATGAAGTATTGTTTTGACTCATTATAGTGGAACCTGCAGGACAAGGTGGTATGATATGGGAACTTGAACACAGACTTCTCTCCTTAAAGGAATGCTGCTAGTCCACAGAATCTGAAGAGTTGCTTTAAAAAATAGTGCTGCAGGGAGTAAAGGTAACTGTTTAACCTGTAAATATCAAAGAATATTTTTCTTTTTTTCTTTTTTTCTTTTTTTCTTTTTGTATGTCTGGGGTGTGTGCAGGTGTATGAGTGGGCTCATATGTGTGAGTGGGTGCATTGTGTGGTTTCATGAAGACCAGAGGAGAATGTAGCTCTATCACTCTCTTCCTTACCACTTGAGACACTTACATACAGGCAGGTAATATACTCATACACGTAAAATAAAAATTAATACTTTTTTAAAAATTTGCAAGTTCAGTTTTCAATTTCTTGCTATTCCAATGATAATCTTTTTTTAAAAAATATATTTATTTATTTTATGTATATGAACACGGTTTTGGTGCACAGCAGAAGAGGGAATCAGATTCGATTACAGATGGTGGTGACCCACCATGTGGTTGCTGGGAAATGAACTCAAGTCCTCTGGAAGAATAGCCAGTGCTTTTAACCGCTGAGCCATCTTTCCAGCCCCTCCAGTGATTATCTTTAAAAAGCGTTTTCTACAGCAAAACAGAAACAGCAATCCAAAATAGGATCATTGTAATATAGACTTGTATAGGTCCTTCCACACATGTAAAAATACAAAAACACAAACTCTGATTTGAAACGTTCTTCCAGTTGTTGTTCTGGCTACTTGACCATGGTATTTGCTTCCACAGGATGCAAATCCTGAATGGGATTCCTGAGAGGTTTTATTTGCCTTTAAACAGCTCAGCCATTGTTCCAAGGCACTTTTCCTTTGCTTGTTTGTACAGATTTGTAAATGGCTCATGTAATCCACTCACTTTTTGTTCTTTCCTTTTCCAGTGTTCTCAAAGCTCTTGGTTCACACTTGAACACCCACTTCTTCCTCCACATGATTAAGTACCTGGTTCTACAAAACTCAAGCACATGCTCATTTTTACATGTCATAGCCCAAGAGTGTCTCAAGCTTGCACAAAACTGAACTGACAAATTTGAGCCAAAAACTGAAATTCTAATAGCTTGACACATTGTAGATGAAGGGCAGTCACATTAGTGACTTTGCTAGTTCATTTCTTACATCATTACTCAGAATTAAACAATTTCCAGTATACTTGATCAACAAGGCACACTAAAAATGTGAAATGCTGTCTATCCCAAGTTTTTTTTTTAATTTTATACAATATCTTTTGATAATACTCTTTCTTCTCTCCCAAATCCTCCCAGATTTTCCCCACCTCCTTACCCATCCAATTTTATGCTCTCTTTCTCTTTCTCTCTGTGCCTCTGTCTCTGCGTCTATGTCTCTGTCTGTCTCTCTCTCACACAGAAAGAGAGAAAGAAAGAAACCAAAACACAAATCAAAACATTAATCCCAGCACTCGAGGAGGCAGAGACAAGCAGATCTCTATGAGTTCGAGGCCAGTCTGGTCTACAAAGGGCATTCAGGACAGCCGAGGCTACACAGAGAAATCCTGTCTTGAAAAACCAAAAAAAAAAAAAAAAGAATAAGAAAAATTAAAAAATCAAAACAGACAAAAACCCAACAACAACAACAACAATAAAGCAACCACAAAGGAAATGAAAACAAAAAGCATGGATTCCATTTTGTGTTATCCACTTACTCCTGGATATGGGACCTGCCTAGAGTGTGGTCCCATACTCATTCCAAGGTGAGAAAATCGTATACCAGAGTATTAAAAAGCTCATCAAATTTTGTGAGTTAATCAATAGCTATAATCATGATGAACTTTGTCTTCTTTTTCACAGGTTAACATTTTTGTTACTCAGAGAAAGTTAATCACTACTGCTTGGAAATAAAAATTAATTCAAGAAAACCATTAAGTAAATAAAATTCTGCCAACTTTTCTAAAGTAGAATTTTTTTTTTTTAAATCAAGGTCTCTCTTTGTAGCCCTGGCTGTGTTGGAACTCACTATGTCGACCAGGCTGACCTCTCAAGTGTTAGAATTAAAGGTGTATGCCTCCATGTCCAGCTTTAAGACAAGAATTTAAACAACAATTTATTCAATGAACTTGTATCTCTTCTTGGACTTGGAGATGTTATAATGAATTTCATCTACTAAAAGCAAAGTTTAACTGACATTTTGTCCTATATGTGCATCTGTTTCCCCTGTTGCTCAGGTGTGCTATACAAGAATTATTGAGGGCCATTGTTTTAGAGTTAGAAGCTTCATGAAGCCCAAGAAGTCAGGCCATAGCAAAATGGAATCACTCTTTCAAAATGCCACTGACTACACTGGAACTTTAAGGAAGAAGATAGAGCTCAAAAGACTAGCTTTTCCTGAGAGCCTGAGGTTCTAGTTGAGTTGGAACACAGAATGAAGCGATTGATCTGCTTTACTAACCCACTCTAAAAGCATTTGATGTAAGCCAACTGGGATGTATGTGCATGCGTGCATGTGTGTGTATTAATCTGGTCTCTGTTTCCATCTTATAACAATCAACTGTTTTGCTATTTCACGGTGCAAAGGGATTTTTTCCTCCTCCTCCTCCTCCTCCTCCTCCTCCTCCTCCTCCTCCTCCTCCTTATTATTATTATTAATTGCTGTTTGATGGTTTGTTTTGTTTTGGATTGGTCTAGTTTGGTTTGGTTTGGTTTGGTTTGGTTTGGTTTGGTTTGGTTTGGTTTGGTTTGGTTTGGTTTGGTTTTTCTGTGTAGCCTTGCCTATCCTGGACTCACTTTCTAGACCAGGCTGGCCTCAAACTCATAGATATCCACTTGCTTCTGCCTTGCAAGTGCTGGGACTAGAGGTTTGCTCCATGACACTTGGCTTCACTATGCAAACTTTTATGCTGTCTTGTAGAAGGGAAGGTGTCCCAATTCATGAATCAAAAATAAG